CACGGAGACGCGTGTGGCAGCGCGGGGGCCGGGGCTGCCGGCGGGCATCACCCACGGGGTCTTGTCCTTCCACCACCACCCGTCCCCGCCCAAACACATTTCCCGAACGGGTGTTTTTCTCCATGGGGATCCAGCGTTCGCTGCCTTCCCTTTTGTCAAACACTAGGATCGTGTCACCRAGCCCTAAAACACGTTTCCTGGCAACTTCGATAATTTTGTCTGCTGCTTTCTTTCACTCGCTCTTGTGAGATACCAAGTTACATACACTTACAAGGGAGCTTTTATGCTTTATTATGATTATTTATGATGATTTTGGTTGGCAGGGGGACAGCCGCGGTGCTGTGGGCTTTGCCTCGGCAGCACCAGCTTGCACCAGACCTCACTTTTGTGCCACATTTCTTGCTCAACAGACCCTTAGGGAGCAGCGGGCGCCTGCGCTTTGGCTCCCTTTTCCAGGCACCAAATCGCAGTTACAGGAGCTCACAGCACTTACAGAATTCATTAGTTTCCCTTTTAATGAACTGTGGCAGTTTCCAAAGGCATAGGCCCAGCTGGGGATGTGAGGCAGCTCTTTTGGGGTGAATTTTGGGTTATGCAGGTGATGGGTTACAGGCGATGGGCTGCTAAGGGCACCTTTTTCTAAGCTCCCCCAGCGTCAACAGCATTAACCGTGTTGGTAACTACGGAAGGGTAACTTAGGTCCCCACGTTGGCAGGGTATTTTAATGCACAGACGAAAGGTCCCGGCGAATTTGGGATGCTTTCTCTGTGATTATCGCAGCCAGTGACTGTTGCTGGTTGCAAGTGCAGGGGGACCACGAGGCTCGGGCACCTGCTGCTTTTTTTCTTCAGAAACCTTCGGGAAATAGGGAGAGCTTAAAAAGGAAAACATGCAGTAAGAGAATGTCCTCTCTGCTTGCAGATGAGTACAAAGACACAGGCAACATCAGCTAGGCAGCTTGGGCTATGTGCAATTCACAATGTGACTAACAGCAACCTGCTTCTGCTTGTTCACTCACGTTCTCCCTGCCTTTCAAGTAATAATGATATCAGCTTACAGAGTGACACAGAAGGATTAAAGGCTACAGATTTATTATCTTTCAGTAAAATGCTATTTTTAGTTTCTAATTACCGATTAAGAGCGGCAGCGTGCAATCTTTCCAGCATCTTTCCCATACCATCACTGCTACATATTCATCTCGCTAAGGTACACTAAGTTTGCAATCAGATAAATAAACAGGAGCAATGAGGGCGCTCGGAAACTAAGCCAGCACCTGCTTGCTTATTTTATTAGCTGCACTCCATGCTCTTGCTTATTTTTGACTCAAGAAAGGGGTCCTGGAGTCATTAGTTTGATACAATAAATACCACATCCTTCTTAGAAAATATTTACACTGCCTTCTCCCTTTATCTACCATAAATGTTTGATGTTTTAAACAACTTGGAACTAAGCAGTGATGAGTATCTGCTGTGACCTGTGACACTTAAGGACTTCAGCGGTTTATTTCTGTATCCTATGAAAATAAATGCCTTGTTGTGGGGTCAAAGTAAATAGCTTCTATTTATTTATTCTGTAGTTGTCTAAGAAGGATGTAGTATGATTTTTTTTTTTTTTTAAGCCAGAGAAAAGACCTTAAAACTCTATGCTAACTGATCAGTCCATGAAGATTTGAGGAATGCAAATGGGGCATCAGAGCAGTTAACTCRCTAAGAAGGTACAACAGGAACAATCCCTGCTTTAGAGCAGGCTCCAATTCCCTAGACGAACCACATTTCCTTGCGAAAACTAGGGAGGARAAGGCGCTGGTTGGGATCCAGCTCAGGTTGCCCTGTTTTTGCCTAAGGATTGATTTGCCAAGCCCACTTTCCTGCGCGCAGGTTCCCACCACGCAGCMGCACGGCCGCCCTTCGGCCTCCCGTCCTTTGAAGATGCAGCAGGGCTGCCGTGGAGCCAACAAGAGCCGAGTCTCCGCGTGACGGGGCAGGATGTGGCTGCAAAGGCTGCGGAATGGACTTCTCGGGAGCGGCCCGAAAGCCGAGCACCGACCTTGGGAAATTTATCTCATCCTGTTTGCACTCACACAGAACTATTTGCCCAACCTCTTAATATAAAATATTTCACGTCACGGATTGACAGAGTTCCTTTCTTACCCTTCCTTCCGTCCACACCAAATCCGATAAGCCATTCGTCTCTTCTTGATGGAAGAAAGCTCAGAGGATGAAGATCCGGTCGCTTTACGTGCTAAGGAAAGAAGTCCCAGTCTTTTGCTGCTGGAACAGGAAACCCTGTCAGATCCTTCTGGACAATTCCATTGTTTTGCATTAGCAAATACCACCTCACGGTGAAGATGGCAGAGGGCAACTCCCTGCCCCACGGAGGCCAGTGAAGGTGAAGATGAAGGATGTGGAAGAAATCACTGCTGTTCATGGCCCTCTGCAGTGCCCTCGTTGGATCTTTAGTCATTGTCCAGTTTGCATCGTTAGATGTCACTAAGGGGAATGCAACGCTCAGCTAAATTCCCACCCTTATCAAAACATTTACGTTCTAATTCAAACTTTTCCACTCCTGAATATATTTCTTTTGCTGTGAACACCCACCAGCGTTGAAAAGTGCAAGCGCCCTCCAGCTGCCCCTGCTGCCCGCTCTGCTCTCCTGCACCTTCTCATGCCCCCCTTGCAGCCCCTGCTTGGGCTTTGCCCAACACCCTGCCGGAGCCCCACGCTCCAACTGCCTGTGCCAGTTCTCGTCTACGATACACCTATTATTCCCTAATGGGTGTTTTTGCTGATCCAGAACCTAATTTGGAAGCACAACCTTCTGGGCAGCTCAGGGTACTGTAACTGTATGTGCTGTGCTGCTTTATGACGTGGTTTATTTATTTACTTATTTTTCCTCTCCTCTGTGGCCAACACAGAACTTTTAGCCACCGTTCTGATAACCAGTTTGTTCTGTAGCTGGGAGACACACCCAAGGGCTTTGTAAATGCTACAAGTCACGCGTATCCGACGCATTATTCCCTAACCGCTGCTGCTTCCCACTCCATCTCCTGCAAGGAGGCAGCGCTCGTGGCAGAAATGTCACCGTGCTCTCATGTGACAGGTGCTGGTGATTTAGCTACGTCAGTTTTTAATGTCACTCTTGCTCAGTGGGAACACACGGCGCGTGCAGAACAGCCTTCGGGCAACGTGGTTGACTCCTTGTTCTTGTGCTCTGGATCTATGTCGCACCGAGCTGCAGGACCGCAATYAGATTATTGTTTTCTGCTCCTATCTGCTGTATTATCATGATGGAAATAGATTTTTGAAGATGTTAGTGGCATTTCTCAATGCTTATAACTACCAGTCTTAAGACATTGATTTTGAGGTTAGCATTTCTGTTTCATAGCAGAGATAAAAAGCGACTTGCTCAATATCATATGGTGAGCAAAGATCCAGGAATTTGGTGATTCCATCCTTTTCCCTCTTTTATAAGCCTATCCGACTGGCAGAAGAGCTACCAGTTTTGGAAGGCTACTCACAGCCTATTAAATCTAATACACACTGGCTTTGTTAGATAAAGCTGGGGGTACACATGCCCAAAAGAAGTCTAAATAGTCATTACCCTGTCACAGGAACCATTGTACGCAACGTTCTGCTCCTACCATTCATGCATCCTTGTTGACAGGCTAGGTACTCTAAAAATCCTTCTAAAAATATACATTTGAGGATACAGCTCAAAAATTAAGCATCATAGAGAGTGTTGGCCACTAGGAATATTTGCCAGGAAAGCTTACGCATACAGCTCAAAAATTAAGCATCATAGAGAGTGTTGGCCACTAGGAATATTTGCCAGGAAAGCTTACGCTGATCCAGTTTCTTCCCCTTCCAATCTTAACCATTCTGTGATTCTTCTGCTGCCAGGCCCAGAAACTGCTGCATTCACTGACCTGACACAACCCAAGTCTCCTGAAGACTTTTTTGGTTGTTGTTACTTACTGAGTAGTCTGCCAAGAAGCCAACCAAGCCACAGCCCTATGCCTGATAAACATCCTTCCAATTTGGATTTCCCAAGGTTTGGGAAAAATGAAGCAATTCTCACTTCAGAATGTTTGCAACTTTCAGAAAGCCATTTCTCTATATAACAGCATTCTGTGAAGAGAATCGTATCAAGAGCATTATGCTATGAAGTTGCAGGCTAAAGAAGCTGATCATACAGCCACCATCCRTACATTAATCAAAATATAAGCTGCCACTCCATCTATGAAGTGTCACAAAGTCTTGCCTGCTTGTTTATTCTAAACACTTCTGGCAGAGCTCTTCAAAGTGTTCCCGAATTACTCTAACTACTAAACAAATGCAAGAAAAGCAAAGATTGCAACTGCCAACTGACAAAGCAATCATTGTGTGCAGGGAGATTGCTGGCCACTGAGGCAATTAATCCATTGGGTTTGCCAGCTCAGAAGGTGACATTCTTTCATGGGGACAGAGCAACCCGAGTCTCAGCTGCAGCGCTTGAGGTCCYGCGCCTAACGGTCACGCTGGAGGTACCATAAAAGGTGCAGTAGTTACAGCATTCAGCTTCGGTTCTGGCTGTTTACCCTTCAACACAACAAACATCCCTGAAATGCCAATGCTCAAATGTTAAATAGGATTTAGTTGTGAGATGATTTCCTAACAGGCTTCTTTGTAAAGGAAGTGTTGACTTGAAGGGCTCAGTGTTTGCTTGGTGACGAGCTATTACTAGTAGTTCTAGGTCCTTCTGATCGAGAGCTCCATTTGTAAGTGGCAAGAAGTTACTGCCAACAAATGGCTGAAAGCAAAGCTCAGCTTAAACCTTCCTGCAACGATGCACCAAGCGTTTTACAATCTGGAAAAAAAAACACGTTTATTTCAAGTAATAACAGAGGATATATAGTAAATGACGCAGCATTAATGTTATATCATTTCAATAATACTCAAAAATACTTAATTCACAACCTCTGCCCTAAGCACTTCAGGGAAAACAGTAGACAACTGCAACTGGAAAATAACATTGTACCCAGTATTCACCAATGAAACACTGTAAAAAGTCAGATGTTACAATTCAAGAGAAATTTCTGGGAGAAGTAGCCAAAGCTTCAAGCAGCAGCAAAAAGCTGTAATTCACAGCATGATCAGTCATCTGATAATGCATAAACACCTGCATTTATACTCATATACTCATACTGAGTATATAACCAGTTAAATAATAACAAAAAAACACTTGTGTAAAACCATTAATGTCTATTTTACATGCTTTTGTAAAGAACAAAGGGTAATTCTGAAATGCTCCCTTTGTGTCAAACTAGTCACAGAACCTGCACTGCAGTGACACATGGAGCTTTKCCTGCTTTTCAGTCCAAGCGGGCTCTGGAAGGTTTCAAATACCCCATCTAGTGGTTCAAGCCTGCAATGGAAATGCCACAGAACACTTGGAATTGTCTTTTACTTCTCATTTCTTAGTATGTGAAACACTGTCTGCATTTAAATACTAACACCGAGTGATGCCTTCCAGAAGCTAGAGCCCACAAGACACCACGTGTTGCTTCTAGCTCTCGCACAGTCACGATAAACCTGGTTTTAAAGTATTCATCTTGATTCACTTCATCTCTACTTTACAGTAGTGATCTCTTATGAATAGTCTGACAGGACCGCTATTGACCAGAGCATTTTGCCTCAAAAACAATATCAGTTTATTACATCTTGAAGATACTTGCTTCCTCCACCCTCATTCTGCACTGACACACTCCCCACACAGCTGAGGTCTGTACCATACGGAGAATGCTCTGCATACAGCTCCACAGTGCAAGGGTCACAGCCTATTCCTGATACAGCAGCATCAATACGTACCAGTGACTCACCAGTAACATTTGTGCACACAAAATGGGAAGCAAACACTTCGGGCAGCTTCAGACCTTCTACAGTAACTAAACTGAATAAGATGACAGGGAAAAAATACTCATCTGGGAGGAAGACAAGCCTGAAATGAATTTTACCTGTTTCTCCTTTCTCAATCTCTGCTAGGCTAGGAACCTAAAGGCATCCTCCTCCTTCTCCTCCTACGCCCTATAGCAATATATAGGCATAACCTTTGTATGCAAGTGTCCCGTTTGTGGCATGGTCCTGGTTCAGTAGAKGAGAGCTGAAAACACAGGCAAAACTATGTAACTCCAGCTAATTTATTCAAATTTGTATTCAGTAAACTTCTCTTAGAGGAGTCATAGTGCGACACAACTGCATTAAAAACAAAAGGTTACATCTATCTAAAGAACTTTTTTGGAGCTTAGTGTAATTTGTCTTTATCCCACCTCAGTTCTCAAGAAACAGGCAACAATATTGACTAAGTAAAAGAAATAACAACATATTTAAGCCCAGCAAATCTTCCTGCTGAAATTGTGCACTGAATCCAGTGATGGCACAAGAAAGAGCTGCAAAGAGGCCTTGGACAACTTCTTTTGGGACATGATAGGTGGCAGATTTTCAATAATCATTGCAAGGTGGCAGATATCATATCAAGAGAACTTTCCAGCCGTCACTTCCAGCAGTTCTAAAAAGTTATTTCAGTTTAGGGAAAATTCTAATAAAGAGGATCATACTGATGAATATAAAACAAACTACAATTAACATTATCCAAAGGAGCCAGTTGACCGATTTCTTGGCGTGCTGTTCAAGGCGGTCAGATTCGTCCTTGAGCTTCTCAAAGTTCTGGTCTGCCATTCTGAGGGAATGTGATAAAGTCTGGGGAACAGAGAGAACAAATGGGGCGTCAGTAGACTTACGGGGAGAGGAATATGCACTAAGGCTGTCCAGTTAGGTCAACCGCTGCTGACAACACGAACACTGAGAGCCTTTTTTTTTTTTTTTTTTTTTTAGTGGAGATAAATGTTCTACTTGTGATGGAGTCATAAAAACAAGTTCCTTACCTTGAGATTAGGACTTAATTTTTAAAAAGTTCAAATTGTCTAAGTGAATTACTAGCAGTACCACAAATACCACAAAAAAAAAGCATTTATAGAAGCTTAAAACTCTCAAGGTCAGACCTTTTTCAGTGTCAATCACATTTCAAAGTTCTGATCACTTATTCCTTACAACAGAGAAAAAATTCAACTTTTCTAGAAGGCAGACAGGTATTGGCTGCAACCTTCCCTAATCTAATCCCATCTGGAAGCAAATGACGTGGATTGTAATTAACACATCAGCATTTGAGTCCTTTAGGTCATTAAACTGGAAGCCTATCAATACGCTTTACCTGGTTATCTTGCTTTATCACATTTTGGGCAGCCAGAGTGTTGTTTTTCAGACTGCGAGCCAAGCTTAGCATTTCTTCAGCTAACTTCTCCTGCATATCCTGATGGCGTTGCAACACAGCATCGAGCTCTGCTGCAGACTGCTTCTCATCAGGTGCAAGGCCTCTGCAAAAGCACGAGGTAAAGAGTTGGCAAGACAAAAGGAATAGTTAAGTTAGCTGAAGCCATTCGTAGGTAGGTTTCTACAAACAGGCACGAGATTTCACACAAATAGGAGTGCATCTATGATTGAAAGAGCTTTGGAAAAGCAATTTCTAAAGCATGAATCATCAGAACATGAAACTTTGACTTACTTCCGCTTCCTCACGCTCAACTCTTCAGAATCTGTTGGGGAAAAGAGTTTAATACATATTACAACAGATTATAAATTCCCACATAATCACAAGCTGAAGAAAAAAGTTTTCTGTAAGGGACTTTTAGATTTTCCAGATAGTCCTGCTTAGGTCCTCTATTTCACCCAGATTTCAGCTGTCTACCTGCTTCCCTCATGGAAAAGATAGTACATAAAACCAAACATATGGTTAAAGGGGGGGGAAAAAATAAGCGAAAGAACACGCATACACAGGGATGAATCACATCCCTGAGGGCACGGTTTAAGCTTATGAGTCCTGGTGTTCTCTTTCAGGACACATTAGGCTGGCCTAGCTCCAGCCACATTAATAGTAGCTATGGAAACAGCACATTAATTCCTACCAGTTCCCTACACRACTAACGTAACCATCTACTTAAGAGGAATTGAACACGTAATTTGGTCTGGGCAGAAAGGAGTAATAATAAGCTTAAATTGTCCTGGCTAGTTCTATAAACAGAATGTCTGCTTCTGTACGACTTCTGGCAAAACAGGTTCTTGCAAATGTCTGTTGCTGTGCTGATAACGGCACTTGTGCTTTCAGCTACTTTAGCATGATTTATTTGCTACCTKAGAAATAAGGGTTTCCAAGTTGCAAGCTGCTAGCTTAAGGTTCACTTTGTCTAACTCCTGCCCTCCTTACAAGACTGAGATCATCTAAAGTGAAGAAGAACAAAACGCTCACGCTTACCATTGATAGCCAAGGGATCCTGGGGAGGCAGAAAGAGAAAAGAACCAGAAGATTAAATAAGGTAATTGAAAAGGTACATGCAATAATGATCAAAGACAACCTCCCAGGCCCAGCAGAGTGCCCGCACCTGGTACTTAGTCAACCCAAAACCAGCTGACTCCCCACCCAGCTCGAAACACATCTGAGGGAGCTGAATGCCACAAAAGACACTCTATAAACTCACAATAAAGAAACAGCAGCACCAGAACATACCGTACCAAGCAGTTCACTCCTCATCCTGTCTGTGCAACGAGCCTTTGTCTGCAGATGAACTGTTTTGGTGGCTGGGGTTCTCTCTTTGATGGTCGTCGGGGTGCGTCCAGGGGCCAAGAACTGATTAGCCAAAGCCTTTTCAGTTGATGATGACTAAAAGCGGGGGAAAAAGCAAGAAAGTCATGAATATCACAGCAGAGCAAGATCTCCTGGATGTGTGACCACCGTTTGTGGTCAAACCAACACAGGTAGTCAACCTTTCACAGTCCTCTAAGTGTGCATGGTGCCACACAAACACACGTTAAATCCCCAAAAGACAATGCTGCCGCTGTACTTCCCAGCATAGAAAGGGAGCAGAGACAAGACCCATTCTCATATGTTTTTGAAAAAAATTTCTTAAGTTCAGGTGMCACAAAAATATATATAAAACTCAATCTACTCATATTTTCACAAACTGTCAAAACAATAAGTGCTATTTTGAGAGATAAGACACAGAAATAAGACAATGCAATAAAGGTAAAATAGGAAAACTTATTGGAGTCTTTTCAAGCCAGCCTAACGTATCTTACCAATTTTTCGGCTTCTAAAAGTCCCTTTAGAAAATCTACTTTGCGGGAGTATTCATTCAACAGCTCTGGGGCAGGCTTGCTACAAAAGAAACAAATCAAAGTGATGAAAAGCAGAAACATCGSTACTTTGTATTTGCTTAGGCAAATCCATGCAGAAATATATTTGCAAAAAAAGTATCTTTTTAGGAAAAACAGGTGGAAGATGGGAGTAATTCCCAGGGGGTGGACGAAGGGAGCACGCAAGTCCCTCGCCCACCCTGACAGGGTTTGGGGCGCCTACCTGGCCTGCTTCTTCAGCTCRCGCAGCATGTCCTCCAGGGCTGCCACGTACTGCGGGGGGAAGCGGCCGTGAGCGCCATCGCTGAGGCGGGACGAGGCCGCCGGCCCTCGCAGGGCAGCCGGCGCGCCCGGCCCCCGCGGCCCCTCACCTTCTCCAGCCGCCATTCCTCGGCGTCCCGCCGCTCGGCGGCCAGCGCCTCGCAGCGGCTCAGCAGCCGCATCAAGTTCAGCTCCAGCCGCATCGCCGCCATGGCCGCCGCCCGCTGCCGGAAGGGGCCTCAACTGCCGCTTCCGACGCGGCGGGCGCCATCTTAGGGCGGGGCGCCATCTTAGGGCGGGGCGCCATCTTAGGGCGGGGCGCC